CGTGGCTGTGTGTGTGTGTGTGTGTGTGTGTGTGGAGGAGGGGGGTTGTTGTTTTGAATGTAAAATGAGCCAACAGCTTAAACAGGACTGGCTTTCATTTTAGAAAACGTCTATGTTAGTGTGTGTTTGCTATAAGTGTGTGTGTGTGTATGTGTGCTCTGTTCATCTGCTGATTGGGATTCAGCTGCCGTCCTCCAGCTCAACACTGCCCTCTGTGTCTCCAAGCCTCATGACTGAGAAGTCTGCTTCTTGTAGACGTGTCGCGATGGCAACCCAGAGAAAACCGGCATCTGAGTTTAGCTGTGTGGTCAGTATGGTGTGATGCCCCCAAGTGGTTGGTTTTAAATCTGCTAGCCTATGAAAACCTCTATGATTTGAGCTATCACTTGGAGTAAAAGATCTCAGTAAATCAACTATTTTACTGTATTTTTTTTTCCAGTTTGGCTTCTCTTTAAAAAGTTGTAGGCTGACGTGTTAATTTGCACACATGATTCTGAGTTTAAAAGGACACAATCCTCTTTAAAGGATTTTGAGCAAGAGTTTTTAAGCTTTCTGAAGATTTGTCACAGCTTTACTTTTGACACTGGCATTTTTTTATTCATTTTGTACCTAACAGTTGTCAAAGAAATGTTTCGTAAAGTGGTTATTGCAAAAGACTATATTTTGTAGTTTTTAAGTCCTCATAATGCCAGCCTATAAATCATTAAAGATTAAAGTGACTTCAAAACTCAAGGGGAACCAGCATCATGTACGCACATAACACTTAGCAAAAAAGATCAGACCTCAGGCATTTTATTAACATGTTATTAGAAACACAATTTTGTCCCCTTTTTTTGTAGAACACATAAATATGTAGGGCTGGGTAAAAAATCGATTTTATCGATCTTTGATCGATTTTATTTGAAATTGGGAAAATCGATTCACATGACATGAGATCCATTCTTCCCCATGGTGTCTTGTACGCACGTCTGAGGCGCGTTTCTATATTTTGTCACACCTGGCTTGCTGTATATTTACACCCGGTTGACATTCAGTGCTAACATTAGCTTTTGATAACGAGTTGTCTGGATCAAAACAAAAGAAACTAAGGAATCACTAATGTTACCAGGCAGACGACTCTCCGCAGAACTTAAAGATAACAGAGACCATGGTGACTTTTGTTTGCAAAGATTTGCGCTTCTACGTGATAGCGAAAACGAAGCGGGGTTTGACGAGCGGCTCATAGGCGCTCAAACCAAACTACRGTATGTAAACATCTGACTGAAACTGTTCTCCACTGGCATGTTTAAACTTGGTAAAGATGACATTCTAATAAAATTGTTTAGTTTTGTTACCAATAATATTATTTTTAAACTTTAGGAAACGTCTTAATGAAATCCACAGTGATCATATTTTGTACTTGTTAAGTCATATGTATGTATTAAGATTTAATAATTTTTATTGAATATAACAACAGAAGGTAACAGAAACATTACAAATATACAATGATAAGATAAGATGATAAGACGATAAGATAAGATAAGATAAGATAAGATAAGATAAGATAAGATAAGATAAGATAAGATAAGATAAGATAAAACTTTATTGTCATTGTACAGAGCACGATGAAATTACAGTTCAGAACACCCATTCGCAATTTTTCATACACTGAAAAGGAGTGGGCAGAAATATATTTATATTAGCCCACCTCTTCTCCTGCAAACTTATTCCCATCACTTCTTATTTATCAAAATAAATATTAATTACTTAAAATGAATGCATCCAAGAACACTGTCACCTGCAACTCCTTTTTACTTAAAAACTTTTTATACTTGTGACAGTTTTCTTTCAAGATTAAACAGTTTAATTTAAAAGTTTGTCCTTCAAACCTGTTGTTTATGTTGAAGAGAAAAAAATGGTGATTTTGTATTTTGCAACACAGTTGATGTTACAAATATCAATAAACATTTTCATTGAATCTTGTCGAATTGTGATTAATCGATTCTGAACTTAATCAAAATCAAATCGATTTAGAGAATTGGCCATGATACCCAGCCCTATAAATATTAGGGGTGCAACATGTACCGTATCGAACCATTTATTACAGAGCTTTAGGTTCAATACACAGTTGTATTGAACAATACAGATTTAAAAAAAATATTTTATCAGCTTGTCTTCTGAAGCTGCTCTGTGTTAAAGGATCAGTGGATCTGTGTTCAACTACTCCACCTAGGCTGCACCGTCGAGTGCAGATCCACTGAGAAACTTGCTGTTTCAGCAACATTTAATTTAAAAACTGGACTTTTGAGGTTAAACAAATGCTCATAATTAATTTAAATAAATTACAAGTTAAAAGGGGCATGGACATTTCTCTTTTTTGTATCGAAAAAATATCGAATCGTGAGACTAAAATATTGAACCAAACCAAATCGTGAATTTTCTGTATCGTTGCACCCCTAATAAATATGTAAAGAAAAAAATTGTATTTTTGAACAAACTAAACTACTTTTAAACAGTAAGAGTAACTCTCTCAAAAGTAAAGTACAATAAAGTGAATGAATGAATGAATGAATGAATGAATGAATGAATGAATGAATGAATGAATGAATGAATGAATGAATGATACTTTATTGATCCCAAGGGGAAATTACAGTTAAAAACACCCATTCACAAGATTACAGGAGAACAGGTGCCCCCCGGTCATGCATGCACAGAGCAAGGATCATCATCATGAAAGGACACCATGAGGAGGTGCTTCTCTTAAAAGTAAAGTCAAGTCAAGTAAAGTAAAGTAAAGTAAAGTAAAGTAAAGTAAAGTAGGAAAATGGCAGGTTTGTGAGAATCAGAAAAAATAATGACGTGTCAAAGGCATGTCACGATAAGCAATAAATCAATTAATTAAAATAAGGATGATAATTTGCATTTGTTTGCTTGTTTGTTTTCCTTATGTCTTCCTCTTTTCTACTCCTTACTGTATTGAGGAGTGCACTCTGACATCAGGCATTTGCCAAGTGCATGGTCTATAACCTCTGTAGCATGAAAGCCTGTGAACAGGCATTTAGCCAGAGGAGTGTCTTCAGTTTTCTGACGCCTTCAGACGGCTGGCGACCGTGCCAAACCTTGGGATTGCCGACAGTTCTTTTTTTCTTTTTACACTTTGTAAATTTGAATGTAAACTTCCATAAAATTTATACTGGTCTCCAACAATACTATCGGGCCCACAAGAGAACTGAAGGAGATACTGTAGTACGTCTAAAACCCTGCAGGCTTAAAGGGTTAAGAAATAACAAGGAAGTCTGGTTATTTCAAGACAAAATACAAAGTAATAAGTACATTATCAGGACTTCAACACAGTAGTTTAACTCAGTTTTTATTGTATTTTTATGAAGTGGTACTGCTAAAATACGTATATCCGTGTTCAGGAGCCAAATACTTTGTAAAACCAGGTGAGTTTCAAACACAAACTCAAACCAAGCTATGACAAGTCTAATGTAAGAGGTTAACAGTAATGTCAACACAACGTTCTGACTTCAAGAGCACAGACCACACATGTAGCAGGTGCAGGTTTATTCTGACCACAGCAGCAAAAATCCCTAAATTACACCTGCTCTCTGGGAGAATGCCTCAGACGTAAACGAGTAGTAATTACTGCAGGACAAAAATGTGTTACATCATAAAAGACTGGTAGGAGTGAAAATGTGAAACATATTTTCCCACCAGTGTTTTCATGGAGAAAACATCAAAACAAACACAAACATTGATTAAGGAAACTGTTATTCCAGCCATGGTGTGTAACCTGAGAGGAGGAAAATGTCAATGTTGTATGTGCATGTGTGTACGCATGTGTGTCATGTCATGTATCAGTAGTAAAATCATCTGAGCATTTTGAAAATGTAACTTTTAACCTATCTTTTACTTGAATTGTTTTTTTCTATGACACATTTTTGCTTCATTTTTATCATGCTGCTCATTGCCATTAGAAGAATTACAATATTTTACTTGTAATTTTATTGGTTTTTATTTCTCTTAAGTAACTTATTGCTGCCCTCTGGTACAATTATGTGTTTGCCTGTGTGTGTGTTTCTGTTTGACAGCAACATATCTCATGAGCCACTGTACGGATCTTAATGAAACAGCTAATAAACAACCCAACTCAACATAGCCGCCCTGCCAAATTCACCTTAAACATATAAATGGCTATACCTCTGTCATTTTTACACATATTGAGCTCAGATTTGGTGTGGTAGTACATATGAGTCATCTCCATTACATACTCTAAGCACTAATAGATTGTGTGTGTTTCATGCTTAAAATACAAAGTGCCAGGCAATGTGTGCGTTTTCTGAAGGAATGCTCAGTTTCTTTTCCTGAGAGCTGTTCTATCACACTCATCCTTTTATTGGAAAAGAGGCTCTAAATAAACTTTGAAGCACAATCAAGATGTAAAGAAAAAAGTGTTCAAACTGAGAACAAAGAGCTGTTGTTTCCTCCACGAGACAAATAGTATTGTATTTCCTTGGGTTGA